GAGAGAGACAGGAACGGGGGACGGGGACCGGGCTACCGAAGGGGCGAGTCGTCGAGCACTTGAGGAGGACTCGCGAACAAGGACTGTATGCGATATGAGAGGAGGGGTTCTCGTAACTGCATCCAGTGGGAGCACGCAAAAGTAGGTACATAAGTACCTAGCGAGCTGGATTGATAGGCCAACAAGGCAGGCAGGCAGGGCATCTAGAAGTACTTACTGTATGAGGATAGTACTTTACGGACGTTGGGTTGGGATGACTGTTCCAAGCGTGAGGCGGCGGATGATTTCAGCGAGCACTTGCCTCTACAGATGTAAATTTACCTCCAAAGTTATAAAAAGATACACGCTAGAGAAAATAGTGGAGAAAGTGAATCATAGAAATCAAGTGTGACGGCCCTATAGGACCTACATTTGGGGGCTGAAACGTTGTTACCCGGTAAATCATTGGAGTATTTGGAAGATGTGGAAGATCTGCACAAGCAAGCCTTTGCTTTTTGCTACCGTGAGCGAGCAGTTTAACTTAATAGGTCTCCACCTCGTAGCTGCCCACGTTCTACTGGTTCCCACCACAGGTACGGAGAACAGACCAAGCCAAGCACTGAAGATCAAGATAACCTCCGCTCCATAATACGGAGTAATGACTGTGCGGTGTGGTGTGATGTGATGTGATGTGATGCGTATAAGCCCATTCGGAGTAGAGAAATGGATGGCTTACAAATTTGGCTTCATACCTGACTCAGCAACCGCATAATTGTTATATTTATACTTATATTTATATACTATAATATACCATTACAGTACCCTTCACATACACAGAACACTTTTCATTGCTAATGCTGAAAATACATGCCAAAAGATATCCTTCCGGAATGAAGACACACTGGGTACTTATCATGAGAGATTACTTGCGCCATTTGCATTGACCTAATTAGGCCTGCGGTGAGAAGAAGCGGCGGGAATAGTGTCCTTCTGGTAACTCCGTACCAAGATCTGGTGGAGTCTTCCTAATAATAATCGCTACAATTATGGTAAATTTACTTTATATCTGAGGTTCCAGCACCCATGATCGCCATCACCTAACCATGCCATGCAGGCATATTTCATGACTGGATATGCATAAGCATGGCTCCCCGGGAGATGAGCACGTTGACAGCTCCCGCAAGGTCATCCGAATCCGAAATACTGTGCGGGCTATTTCTATACGGAGATACGGCGTACGATGTATCGTGGTTAGCAAGGTTCGTTTATGCTTACCCAGTACTTGCATACTTGTAATACCATTAGAGTTTGCTCACCAGGGCCGGCGTCAATCGAACCTGCTTCTTAGTCTTTTGCGACCCGACACGACGAGCGGGCCGTGTCCCTGGATTTTATCTCTGAGCTCTCCGTACAGTACGGTCCGTCGGGACCGACTGACTGGACTGACCGAGCTGCTTCGCCCCTTTGATATGCGATGGATAGAAACATCAACATAACATCCCTCGAGGCCCTGAGGGTATCATCCATCATTCCCAGCATACAGTAGCCTCGCATTTATCCGAGATAAAACTGGCAAGTCTATAGAGCCATAGATTACTAGCTATTATATAACTCTCCGGTATTGTACTATTGATTATCAGGAAGTTGAAACCATACCAGTCTTATCCTGCAATTGCTCGTTCTCTATCGAATGGCGCTACTCTATGAATCCATGAAACCTCTAGTTACTCCGTACCTTTTACGTATAGACCGGTATTTGAATTTTCCGAGCTCTCAGAATTGCCGTATGTGGTACTCCATAGTTGGCTAAATTTACGAAGTACGATAGCAAGAACTACCGAGTTAGTATTCTAGTAATACCGAGTCTATCAAAACGCTCCACCAGTCTACCAGACCAGTAAAGTGCTCGAGTAGGACAACAACGACCAGGGTTAAAAAGCGCAATAATGATATAGTAAGCAGTATAAAGTTAGAGTTAAACGTTTTGGTTTCTAAATAGTAAAGTCCGTTACGCTTATCCTAATCGAGTTCCAAACCACGAGCGATACCATACTCCGTACAGTACCATAACCTCGCAAACAAAACTCTTCAAACGAGTATCTATTCCCGAACGGTATTCACACTGTACGAAGTACACCCAGCATTTGAAACCATGTGGTGTAACTTGTACGATGTACTGTAACGTCATGGCCAAAAATAGCAACGGCATGGGATGAAGCGAATCATCGATTTCGAGATTGCTGCATTATCTCGCTCTCGTAGAGAAACCCATCATGAATGCACGTTTCACATATTAAAGACGATCGATCACAAATGCCCAAAATGCGTACTGTACGGAGTACGGAGGCAGCAAGCCAAGGTAAATCATTTACACCCCTGAAATTCCGGGGTTGTGCTCCTGGGGAAGGGCTTGCTTGTTTAAACAGCCACGACCGTTCGGGTGGTGTGCTGTGGCCCTCCCTGTCCTGTTCCTGTACAGTAGCCACCACCATCCATCCTCCAGGCTTTTGTACGTAAATCATTAATTACACTACTTCCAGCGCTCAATCACTTGCAGTCTCGACCAAGACGGTCGAGATGAAGGAGCAGGCAGCATACACTAGAAGAATGTCTGCGCGGCCGGACAAACCCCAGGCTTTCTCGATGGAAATACGAGTGAGTAATTGAAAACTCTTCCCTTAAGAAGCCGGAATGAATCTAGAATTTTTACCTCCCTATGGCCCTAGTGCTTCAACTGCCGTAAACTACATCGGGTATGTCGAGGAGATGTGAGGGTCTACACTGAATACCGACCGCAGGTCGTACTACTGTAAATCCCGTGAGCTCCGTAAAGCCCGGTCCTCTTGATACTTATCTGGAAGACCGAGCTCAGATCTCGGACGTCGTTCCGAGTTCTTGTTCGCTGCAGCAAGATAATGTAAATTTAGTTCCGGGGACCAAAGGTGATTCTCTATGCAAAGAGGAACAACACAATCGGATAATCCCTGTTTCTGGAACCCTACACTCAAAGCATAAGCTAATAACCTGCGATGTTTGGTGTTTTCGGCTGCCCCTAAAAGCACTTATCACTATTTTCGCCGATTCATCAATGAGCGCCGTGATAATGTGGCTGATCAAGCCTAAATAGGATCAGGGGATCTTATATAGAGAATAGCCACCATTAAATGGTACCGGGCCAGGTGAGATGAGGCTGTAGGAATTGCTTGCATCAAGTGAGGATTCAAACCATATGCATGATGCACATAATCAGGCGCCTTTCTAGCTTTCGAACACCTCGTATCATTAGTCATCAATAGTCTAATTTCTGATATAATCACCATCTTCAAATGGACGATAAAACAGGTGTGAAGGCCTATCATGTTGTACTTGCTGGCTATGAAAACGAAAATCTCAAAGTCTTGATAGACCTCGTTATGATAGAGATCTCCCCAGAACACAGTCACCATTGTATATATAGAAAAAGGCTTCCAACAGGATGGGAAAAGGAGCTGCCACCACGGAGAAGGATTGCAAGGTCTCACAAGTTATCGTTTCCAAACCACGTGTCCGCTCTGCGGAAGGAATCTTGTGAATCACATACAGAACCCTCGGGTGAGAACACGAACCGTCAGGGATATGGAATATACAGTAGGGTATTTATATAAGTTGTCAAGATAGCACAAGCTTATTCCAAGCTAGCAAAATGTCAAACGCCTGCTTGATGCTGGGGAAAATCGGGGATAATGACTGGGAGTGAAAGGACTACTACTCCAATAATGCAACCCGAACGCCCGTGGTAAACAGAGAAAGACATCGAATAGAGACCGCCTTAATTATTATAGTCTATATCAGACTGGTCAATTTTGTCGTCGCTCTGTAAAACCCTGTGACTTGTTAGACCAATAGTAGCACAATTAGATAAAGACCTACGAGTACTGCTTCACCAGCACAGCTTCCCCTCCATTTTCCATATCGATGTTATAAACGTAAAAGGCACCATCACTTGTAACAAGCATAACCTGGGGGCTGCTGCTACTCATTGCTACAACGCTTCGAAGAGGGGCACCTGTCGAATTTAAACCCATGCCTCCCTTTGGTAGTTTTATGAAGGCAAAATCTCGCATCGGCTCCCACATTTCGGTAACGGCTTGCGGTAGATATCCACCAACAACACCGGCTACACTTTTCCCCATTATCTGGGAAGATCTTCTGATCATGCTACCAAAGGTTCCACTGGGTTTTCTGGTAACACCAGGAACTTCTGTATTTTCGCTACCAGGAGACGTTCCAGTGGTAGGAGATTCCGCACCGCTATCGAAGCTACGAGAACGGCTCCATCGGTCGTTCAAAGACCTTGGCGAGTCCGGCATGACGGCGGCAACACCTCCAAGCCGGAAGATGTGCACGGTGTCGGTAGTAGAAGAGACGCAGAGTAAGGTTGAACTTAGGTTGAATGACATGCTGTAAATGGTCGAAGGATATGTGCCTCTTCGGAACTGGTATAGTTTTGTGCCTTTGGGAAGTGAGAAAACTCTGATGATTGTCCCGGTTACTGAGGCTGTCGCAAGCAATGTCCCTTCATTATTTAAGGCTATACAGGATAGCGGAGCTCGGTGGGCTTGCACAACATTTAATGCCTTGAGCTCCACTGCGTCAAAGATCAAGACTGCTCCGGATGTTGGTGCAACGTAGGTAGATAGTGGCGGCGCGTGGGAAGGTCGATTATCTCCCGTATCTTCTCTTGGCTTTGGCATCGGGTATGCAATGTAGCAATTCTCTGACGAAGGGGCAAGAGCACATATGGCACTGGGATTCGGTGAAGTCTCGATCGTGTACAGAAGGCTCATATTCGAAATATCGTAAAGGTATATTTCCTCCTCCAAAACCACAGCGAGACGTTTTCGATTAAGGCGTACCGCCAGCACCGCGGATGGGAATGTGAGCTCACAGATAATGGAAGAGCGCTACACCAATTTTAGCATAAACACTATTCGAAGAGCCTTCGAGAAGTCGCATGTGCAGGAAGGGGTACAAGGTTCTACCTTTGTATTTTGAATGACCAACCGCCTTGGAGACAGTATGAGGGCAACGAGCGACGTGGAGAAGAGCATCTCAATGATAGTCACATTTCCGTCATCGCTGCTGAATATCTTTGCGAAGGGATCTGTGTGGTATATCCGGAAACCTTTCGAGGTACCTGGCAGAGCTTTTAGTCCGGGGCTTCAGGATCGGATCAAGGCAAGCTCTTACCAACAGCCAGGCAGCCGTAGTCCTGATTGAAGGTGACAAAATTCATAGCCATGGTGTAGTTGTCGTCCTACCGAGAAAAGAGTAGAGTCGGTGTAGGATGGAAGGATTGTCGTTGCGCTCGTTACACAGGCAGCGAGTTGTCCCGCGAGTCTCGGTCTCGTGGAGGACGGGTCAGAGGGATTATGAGGCTATACGAAATGCAAAGCTTTTGAAGCGTCGATGAGGCTCTCTTGTACTTGTAGTGAATAGTCCATTTGGCGTTGACTCACTTGCTATTCCGTGAATGTTGGCAACATGAGAGTAGAAGTAGCGGGCAGCTGTTAGGAGGTTTGGCGGGGTCTTGAAGCTTGCTCCCCAAAGGGGCTTAGTCCGTAACCTTAAAATTTACAGTCAAGTCACAACCTTGTCCACCTCCACTAAGAAAATTCACGTTCATAATAATCTTCTGGGTCTGCGTTTTGAAAATGCAACTTACGTGAAAATTCATTTACCCAATACTTGAACTTAACGCTTTAGATCTAGCCATGGTTACTCTCAAGGCAGCGGCATCTGCCCCATCGCAGATTCAGGACGATGCAATTATGGGCGTGAGAAATTCGTCTATCACCTATAAATATAGCATCTACTGACTACCAACAGACAAACAATAGCAGTATTGTCTCAAAACGCAGTGTTGAACGCCTCTATTTTCCTGATGAGCCTCACTTCTTTCGCTATTTCGTCAAGAAACCCCAAAGGCGTTCACCCTTGATAAACAGGGGCTATTGGCTGAGGTGGGATATCCATTTCTCGCTTCCTTTCTTCGTGGTCTTATTTGAACCGTGTGTAGGCTAATTGACCTGACTCGGGATTAGAATGAGATGTATTGATCACGTTGTTCGTAAATTCTTGGAAGAACCATCCAAGTCTCGAAAGATTATAGTTAATTTGGGGTGTGGATAGTGAGTACGGTATATGTAATCATATTAACCAGGGAAGATAACTTGCGAATAGCGACCCGCTTTCCTGGCAATGTCTTTCCAGATATCCATCTTTGTGTGACAATGTCTCATTTGTCGACATTGACTACAAGGAGCTAATGCTCAAGAAGCGTGATATGGTGAATCGTACACCTGAGCTAAAAGAGGTCTTCACAAACGTCGAAATATTGGAAGGGGATATTTTACTTCGCAGCGATCAATACCTGCAAATCGGATGTGATTTAAGAGACCTTGGCACTCTTGATAGGGCTCTCGCTTCAGTATTTGATTTCGAAAAAATTGAAATTTTGTTCGTGGCGGAAGTCTCCATAACTTATATGGATGCACACTATGCAGACAATTTGATAGAATGGGCGAGCAAATTTCAAGGTAAGAACTGCGCCTCAAGCGAATGAACTCGACAAGAGCTGACAATATTTCAGCTCGCTTTTGTCTCCTAGAACAACTTCTACCCGAAGGAATAAGCCATCCTTTTGCTCGGTCTATGATGGCACATTTCCAAAAGTTGAAGACGCCACTTAAAGCCGTCGAGAAGTATCCAACCCTCTCCACTCAGCAGCAACGCTTTCATGCTAGGGGCTGGCAACATGTTTCAGCACGCAATCTTTGGGAGTTATGGGGCTCGCCAGATTTTCTAAGCTCACGGGACAGAATGGCCCTGGACGCCGTTGAGAACTTCGATGAATATGAAGAACTCGCTCTTTTCGGCTGCCATTATGTCCTGCTAGTTGCAGATAATATCAACTCTGCTGCGTTCGAGCATCTTTCTCGCACAGAAATAAAACTGGGAGCTCCAGTTTCGTCTATACAGATGGAGATACAGTATTCCGAGTCTCCAAAGGGATGTGGTTACAGGCGATTTGCTGCTGGTCTACCTCTAAAGAATAATCGAACTTCGGTCAGAATTGGTAACCTTGGCGGTGCGGGTTCGGAGACAAGGAGTGACTCTTGTGATATATATGCAGATAATCTACAAGTTGACCCTCATCCAGAAGCTTGGAAATCCCAGTCTTGTCCATCTAAACGCCAGTGCCACACTATTACCGATCTCGGTGATGCAGGCTCGTTACTTTGCGGTGGGTTACCCGTTTTCCCTCTCTTGTTTTCAAATCCTTACAATGAGTTCAGGTGGCCGAACCTCTCCGGACAATGCTTTGAAGGACTGCTGGCTCTATCACAAATGTGAGTAGTTACAGTTTATTATTGTTTTTGGGAGAAATGTAGCCCGGAAGGAGCAAAAAGATGACTCCGACAGACTCTCAAATGCACAGACATAGTTTCCTAATGTTTTGTAGGGGTTGACCAATGGGAACGCGTCGATGATCTTCCATCGCCTCTATACCGACATCAAGCTGTGAATGTCGGTCACGGCGTTCTCATCTCTACAGGAAGAGTCAGTTCCCGGGCCATCTCTTCTGGCTACCACCTTTGGAGCCGCCGATTCGGTTGGATAGAGTGTAATCTTCATGGTGACGTACCTCCCCCAACGTTTGGAGCAACACTGCTTGCATTCGATACGGGCATGACATTGGATACATCTACAATAAAACGTGGTATTGTTGCAGGAGGGATGTTAGCAGATGCCGTTGTCCAACGGGGAATCTGGGAATGGGAACTGGACCATGATGCTCAGCATCCGAATTTGCGATTTCAGCGATCTTCATTGTTTCCCGACAATTCGGAGCATCATCAGTATCTCGCTCGGTTTGGTGCTAATGTGGTCAACTACAAAAACAAGACGTACGTCTTGGGCGGTGTCATACAAGATACATTGTTAGGTGTATCTGACGAAATTTGTGCCATCGATGCACAGGGCTCGTTTCATACCATTCCAAGAACTGAAGATGACCAGGCTCCTAGACCCTTATTAGTTGGAGCAACAATCACGGCAACGAATAACAATATATTGATCATGGGAGGTGGAGCCACCTGCTTTAGTTTCGGGACGTTTTGGTAAGACAAATCAGCAATCATATTAATCCACAAATTTCCCGAACCCCAGGGACAACTCATAGCTCTTAAGCCATTTCCCCAATCTTTAGTTCTATTGAAGAAGCATTGCTGATTCCCCATTCCATTTAGGAACAAAGGGTGCTATACCCTGAATCCGGGCTCGAACTCGGATTCCTCAGATGCCTTTGGATTTGTCAAAACAATAGCGCCTCAAGCGCAAGTTATCGGTATCCAAACGTCTGTACCAACTAAGCACACAAGCGCTAAGCTAACAACCGTCCATCGAATGAGGATCATGTCCCCAGAGGACTTCGATCAGATCCTCCAGACCGCTGTCCCTGTCATTCTCGAGGGCTTGGCTATTGGCTCTTGTACCGAAAAATGGACCGACGAGTATCTGAAGGAGACTGTAGGGCCTGAGCGCGAGGTAAATTCTGTGAGTAAGCCACTTTCTCGGAGGAATATGTTCTACTTCGGACATCTCAGGAGTGATTTTCTCTCTAGGCATGTTTTTGAGAGTGGATTTCTGCTAGGAAAATGTCCCAACCACTGTGCAACATTGTCCCAACTCCAATTTCGACCATACTAGGCAAGACTGACTCTGATATTTCGTCATAGGTTCCAGCCTAGTTCCTAAACTTCCAATTGACACCCACAGGTTATTGTTCATCAGTCCGAATCTGCTTATCTTGACTTCGCCACCAAGAACTTCAAATATATCACAATGGGATTCGGAAAATTCGTAGACTCAATCAGTAATCAGGGAAAACTCTACTTGCGAAGTCTATCAGCACAGAGTCCAACAGACACCCCTTCTGATCTGAGTAAAGACTACCCTACACTCTCTGCTGACTTCACTTTACCAAATGAGCTGGAGTACGTCAAGAATAACTCGCATAGCGCCCCGTTGCGTATCGCTGGTCCTGTAACAATGTCTGTATCCTCATTTTACCCCTCTTAAATGGATACTTATCAATTTAGGTGGCTGCATTACGATGTCATGGCGAACGTGCTCTGTCAAATTCGAGGTCGGAAGAGATTGGTTCTATTCCCACCACATGATATTATGCACCTTGGGTTTGAGCCTGGTGCATCAAGTTCGAGTATCAATGTCTTTGAACATCTTCAAGATCCCTGCCTCTCGGTCACACACCCCTACGAAGCAATTCTCGAGCCGGGGGATATACTCTTCATTCCCTCGTTGTGGTTACACACGGCAAAACCCGAGACGGGTGTGAGCGTCGCGGTCAATGTCTTCTTCCGGGACCTGAAGACTGGTTATGGAGTAGGAAGAGATGTGTATGGAAATAGAGACCTGCAGCCTTATGAAAAGGGAAGGCAGGACATTAAGAAGATCATCAAGGCCTTCGACAAGTTGCCGAAAGCTGCCCAGAATTTCTATCTGCACAGACTAGCTGCAGAATTTCAGCAGAAGTCTCTCAATATCTGAGATATTATTTACCAGACTTTCGAAATCCGTGTCATGATGCACATCGCACAGACGACGCGAAACTGCTATTTGGAATGCTGCTCAGCAAAATTTGATACCCCACAAAACCTCTGCCCACCTTCAAATCAACTGTCGGCTAGTGACATTAAAAGTCTGTGGATTATTATCTCCAATGTCATTTCCAACGTCTGCCCTAGCGATAATATGTTCTGGGCTAAAAAGTCATATCTAGTTGCCAACGAGCGAGCTCTCATACTTGAAATGGCCATTTATCGGAAGGCGGCCCGTGACTAGCGGCACCCCAGTAAATCATCCGAAGCTTGTCGGACGCGGTGAGCATTCTGGAGAATGCAAGTCTAGATATGCATGTGCTATATCCACACACAATAGGGCAAGTGGGGAGGAATTAGTGCCCCTGTGGCGAGGGGCAAAATCCGCATCATTATTCTTGGACCACAAACGTTCCCGCCTCACCAAGTTCTTCTATGCGATTTAACAGATTTGTAAATAACACAATCCGACATGATTCTTGTGTACAGACCAATGCTTCGGGCGGTTTAAAAATACTTGATGATACAAGCGAGTGAACTGTGTTCTGCAGGTGAGCTCTTGAAATTACGGAATTTCAATCTGTCAAGCACCTTGTAGCTAACTTCAGATAGCAATAGTGATCAAGAGCCATTATGGCGAAATCACCCCAAGTACTCGCAAATGTGTGACAAGGCGCAGGAGCTTGGAGACATACATAATGAGCCTTTCTCTTTCTCAAGGATTCCATACGCCGAAAATTGGGATCTTGTACGGAAATTTATGAAAATACTTGGTTTTCTGGTTTAGCGTTGGTGTTGAAGTAGCCCTTGGAGGTGTATGTAACCTCCTCGAGCAATTCTTTTCCTTATGCGGACAAATGTCTCTGAGTATTCAGCTATTCGCAAGCTCCAAGATGTCTTTAGACTGCGTAGCGCTAATTCTGAAAATTTACAGTGGATTGTGTCCTTTGTATAGTCTCTCATTTCCATGACATATTATTTGAATGCCAGTTCAAAAGACTGCTCTCCCCTCTCCGACACTGCCTAGATATCCTTGTGAATGCAGAGACTGACTGTAAATAGATGCTCAAAATTAGAGATGGCGAACCGTTTCAATCCGTGAGTTTTTTTCCCTTTTGCACTATATGAGAATTTCGAACTCTAGGCAAGGTTCTGTCATCTTTTGCCGAGAAGATCAACTGTTAAGTGCGAATTCATCATTTAAGGGATTGGTGGCAACTGGCTTTTGGCTTGGTATCACATTCGGCAGAGTGAGTTAGGTTTTGTAACTGGCGAATATGGGGGAAAGGTTGCGATTGCTGCTTATCTGATAATATGGTACACTACTATTTTACTATTAGGACATGTTTCGGGGTTTGTGGAACATACTCATATCCTCCAATTCAAGTGGACTTTGAGGATTTCTCACGGCTCTTGAGTCACTGATCCGTTCTTCTGAAATACCCTGGAAGAAGCAAAGCTAATTTTCGGTTCTTGCTGCTGCCTTTGGAGGAGGAGGAGCATGTTTTGTCAGTGCCTCTCTTATTCAATCCTCGAGTTGAGAGGGACATACTTTCCTGGCATATCTTTCCCCTCTCCTGGCACATTTTTAACTTTAATTAGCCTTTCGCTGTGGGCGCGAGCGCACAAGTAATGGAGTACAGGTTCTCCAACCGATTGTATTCGCTGCTCTGGGTATGCTTATTCCAATACCAAAAAAATTGCAAACTTTTCGAAAGCAACTGGGGATCCTGAAGCTGTTTCAGGCGCCCAGGTAGCTATATAATAACTTCGGGACAGCTTCTAGGCTCCCTGGCCTCTTCAAACAGTTATCTTTTTACTGTGCTAATCTGTCGAGCAGTTGCAATACTCCTGCTTTGGTGCTCGCTACCTGGCGGGTTTAAAAAGGGAGGATTGGAGGAAGCCGGCAGTGAATTGGAATTGGGACGTCCTCGAGAGAAGAGAGGTTTTGGCCGAATAAGGAAGTTTCTGAACCTTCAGCGCCGAGCCTCATGAGAAGCCTTGCCGGTTTGTACCTGCACGTCCAAGACACGGCATCAGGTGCTCTAGCGAAGGATGTTTCGATAACCCTCGAATCATGCATTTTTGGCCTCTGTTCGAGTGAGTGGCTTTATTTGCGGTGGACAGAAAAGCAATAAGAAGTGCCGCTTTTGTGTCCACGGCGAGCTTTGCGGGAAGCAGTATAACTGCAGGAAAGACATGCGTATAGCATGTTCACAATTCTCTGAACCTCACCATTCAGCCAACAAACTTCAACGGGTCAGAGCTTTGGGATTAATTTCGGCTTTTTTTGATAGAAATATGTACTCAATCGACTGATTGACTCCTTATTGACCCCTTTACAGCCATTGCTTAGCTGAAAGAGAACAGTATCACGATGCGAGGGACAAAGATTGGACCTACTCCAAACAGTCGATGCTAGAATGGTTGGTTAGAGTTGGTTGTTTTCTTATTGGACAAATTGGGAGTTGCAACGCGCTATTGGGGATCTGACTGAAACCCCCACTTAATACTACATATTGACGCGGGGAACACCAGCAACCTAGAACTAGAGCGATGATGTGGGGCGTCGGTATTCGTTCAACCTGCCCCTGCACACACCTGCACACACAGCCACAGAAGTGTACAGAGTGGCACTCGACTTCAAGTATATTTGTTCTATACAAGCAGAATAGATTTATTATCTCGCTACTGCGTTGCTCGCTGTGGGAGCATGCTGCGGAGTATCAAACCAAATCAAATCAAAATAGGGTGATGCTGCTGGTGATCAGTCGGCCGTGACTTGATGTGACTAGACTACCTGTAGCCACGCTGCCCATGCAGCACTAGGTACTGTTGTCCAAGCTTTCTAGTGGAGGACTGACTGGACTGCCGCAGGGTTTAGTGACCGATGTGGAGCGCTTTATCAGTGCCCGGCGCACTGGCCAGTCCAGTACTGTACTGTACACTTTACCATCGCATCAGAAGGAAGAGGAGGGGGAAGGAGAGAAGAGGGAGGAGGGAGGAGAGCATGCTCGATTGGCAGAACTTATACTCGGCCACTCCGGACTCATAGAAACAGACACCCGTTCCATCCCATCCCATCCCATCCCATCTCATCGCATCCCATCTACATCTCCAACGTCGCGCCCGTCAGTCGTATACATACGTATTGCCTTATCATTGGGAGATTGGTGTGCAGTGTAGTGCATTCGCAATCCGAGGCACAATCTCAACATTGGCCCTGGTCTCAGTCTTATCTCTACACGATTAGATCTCTCTTCCCACATAAACATCACATCACATCAAATCAGATCACATCACATCAACCACATTCCACAAAGCTGCTTCGCTCTTTCCTCCATCTCCTACAAGCAAGCGTCCTACATGTTCGGCTGAATGAAATAAGAAAAGGGCCTGCCGTTGACCATGTCGACCATTGTCCTACCAAGACAAGTGCATACGACGCGAAGCTCATCCCCTCGCCCGCTCACATCGAGTCTCTCTCTCGATAACATAAATACAGCAACGGCTTGTCCAGTGCCAGTACCAGTAAGGATGATGGCTTCCTTGATATGCACACCCTCCGTCCCATCATGTTTTATCTCAAGTCTCAGTCATTCCTGTGCAATCGCGTCGAGGGAGACTTTTGTTGCCTTTTTGACTCTCCTGTCATTCTCGAATAACAAACAACTGACTTCCCCATCCCCAGAACAAGCATCTGCCAGTGTGCCCACCAGGCCCACCTCCTAGTCAGAAGCCGGACACCCCTCCGCACAGTCCACCTTCGAGAGAAGCTACTCTACAACATTCCAAATTATTCCCCCCCGAAAACTATACACCAAGATATTTGGGGTTGCACACTGTTTATGAGATCGACGCGGATGGCATTGCTGCTGCTCTGGACCATATCGCCCGCCAGCCACTTCCAGATCCATCCCTAGTCTTCCCTTGGTTTCATGGCCTCCACCCGTGCAATCACATTCAGCAAGCCTTCTTCATACCCCGACGGCGGCATATACGCAAGACCCCAAAATGTCTACGTGGAATCACAATTGTCAAGGCGGGCGGGGATTTAAATTATGCGAGGCTGAAAGGTGCAATTGCTCCAGATGAGTTGCTTCTTCAGGCTCCAGCCAAAGCCGCGTTTCTTGAAGTTGATCCAAAGGAAGGCTTCTCGGTGCGAAATTTTCAAATTCAAGCCGCCAAATCTGCTATGGTCTCAGATATCATAGTCTATGGAGAAGATGGGTTTGAGGCGCAAAGGCTTGCCCAGGAAGTGGCTGCTGCTCAACAGGCGTGGAGAGATTCACATGAGGAAAAGGGCCAGGAGCTGCCTCAATATAACACCTTTCTATGCACCAGCCCATTCAGCGAATTCGAAGAGAGGCATGCCGATATTGTAGCTACGGATTCCATGGGCCAGATGACCGGTCGAGTTATGGACTTTTTCCATCAGGAAAGGATCGAAATGTGCACGATGACCAAAGCATCAGAAATCCATCACAACGTATGGCTTGGTCCTACACCTGATCCTGCCATAGACCCTTCTCTACTCGAAAACGACGAGCAATTTGATATCCTTATTGAGTGCAGCGATCTCGGGCGTGTAAATGCTGCCGTTTTGCAGGCCATAGCCGAAGGCGCAGATTTGGGAGAGCAGCCGGTATATCTTGGATTCCCATCATCAGGTAGCGTTATGCCACCAACATGGTCTCAAGCTGAAGCAGACGGGATTATGGAGACCTGCAAATGGCTCTATAACCTGGCCCATGGCATTGCTCCCTGCGCCTCTAACATCGATGTCGAGGGGGATTCTCCTATGCCCTTTTCTGCAGTTGAACCTATGAAGAGTCGGGAGAAGAAAATACTCATCCATTGCACAGATGGCTATACAGAGTCTACGCTCCTTGGCCTTGCATATTTCACCTACGCAACTGGTCTCCCGGTGCCTACTGCCTGGCTTGATCTTCATATGTCCAAGGGCCGCAACTTCTTTGCCTATCCAACCGATGTTGCTTTGCTCGCCTCAATTGCCCCACGCCTTCTCTCAGAATCGCCGGTGAATGTGGACAAGTCTCTCTGTGAGATCACAAAGCTCGCAAAGGAAGAACCCGAATGGATTAAAAACATGGATGGTTCTTTGCCCTCTCGGGTGACTGATTATATGTACTTGGGTAACTTGGGCCACGCTAACAATTTTGACCTGTTGAGGCAGATGGGGATTGGGCAAATCTTGAGCGTGGGTGAGACAGCCACGTGGAAAGATGGCGAGTTGGAAAGTTGGGGTAAGGACAACGTCCTGGTAATTCACAGGGTGCAGGATAATGGTGTTGATCCTCTGACGTCGCAATTTGAAAAGTGCTTGCAGTTTATTGGTATGCTACCCTCTCGGTTTTCACCACTTATTACATGGTCCTAACTTTGTTCAACAGACCGCGGGAAAGCCAATAATACTGCAACACTAGTACACTGCAGAGTCGGCGTGTCTCGATCGGCGACAATCTGCATCGCAGAAATTATGAGATCGATGGGCCTATCTTTTCCTCGAGCATACTGTTTCGTCCGCGCTCGACGGCTGAATGTCATCATCCAACCTCATCTACGCTTCTCCTACGAGCTCCTGAAATGGGAGGAGAAACTCCGAGGAGGGCCTCACGGTGACGGTCGCTTCAAACGCGAGCTCGAATGGGCCGATATTTCCCGGGAGGTTGCAGCCATGAACAAACCTTACGCTCGGAACGCAAGGTAGGTCGTGGCGACTTGTTCTATTTGTTCTTTGGTAAAGTATCATGATATACGAAATTACGAAATTTCTATGCTACGTTTGGTTAGGGCTATTCTTGTGGAGCGGGAGTTCTTGTTCAGTTGGTGGATCGGACTTCGGCTCAGGCTAGCCATATACGTGGACTCCCGGGATTTTTTGGGCAAACATCATTTCTCACAGTAATTTTATAGCCTTGGGGTTTAACGGACTGGATGGGTCTGTGAATGGGCACCAGCAAAAGTTCCGCAAATCTTTCAAAGGAGAGTGTTTTCATTATCCTCATATCCGAAACATTGTTCAAGTAGGTTTAAATACTTGTATTGTATGTAGTCTTGGGGATTCAGAATCTTAGTAAAGTGAAAAACCTGACTGAACCATGTTCATCTATCTGATTTATGATGAGATGAGATTCTGGGTGCATGAGTGAGTGGCATATCAAATGTGACTCGGGTGTCAACTCTGAGCTCAGATGGTGATAGACATGCAAGATGTGAGATAGATAATAAGTACCTAGGTAGTATCCGACAGATATTAAAGCAAGCGCTTGCAAGAAGTTGTCAGATCTTCGACCCTGATTTGTGCTATCTGGCACTAACCTCTAAAGCGGTAAAGCTCCCGCGTACGTCCCGCCGCTACAGGGTGGATCAGGGTGATCTTGACCCCTGTAGATGCAATCATCATAGATCCCTTTGATATAATAAAATAAACAAAACTTCCATTTTCTCATCGAATTCGCAAATTGTACCAGACATATCACAGTTCCGTGCTTAGAAAGAAGAAAAAAAGAAACATGGCGCCATGGACACTCGTCTCTCCCGCAAGTCGTGGAATTGGCTTCCATCTCACGAGACATCTCCTCCGGAACACCACACTTCCTGTTGTAGCGACGGCGAGGAAAGATATTGAAGGAGTGAGAAAGTCCATGTTAGAAGGGTTGAAGGACGTCGATGAGGAAAGACTAAAGGTATTGAGTCTAGATGTGACCGGTATATCTCCACAACCCCTCGTTCTAAGCGTCGAGACTGCACTGACTGGCAGAGAATAGATGAATCCACAATCTCCAACGCAGCCGAAGAAACCAAGAACCTCTTCCCACTAGACAAGAACCATCTGCACCTAGCATTCTGCATTCCAGGAATTCTATACCCAGAGAAATCACCAGCTCAGCTCGAGCACGAGCAACTCACGCACGCCTTCGCCGTCAACACTATCGGGCCCCTGTTAATGTTCAAGCACTTCAGCAACTTCCTCCCCAAGAAATCCACAGATATGTCGCTCCCCACCTCGCTAATCACGCTTCCTACCCAAGCAGTCTGGCTTAACATGTCCGCGCGCGTCGGTTCTACCACGGACAACAGACTCGGAGGCTGGTATTCGTACCGCGCTAGCAAAGCGGCTGTGAATTCTGTGACCAAGGGCGAGGACATTTTTGTGCGGCAGAGGAGTGGGGATAACGCGATGGTTATGTCTTATCATCGGGGACGGTGAAGACGGGGTTGAGTAGGGAGTTTTGGGCGGGGGTGTCGGAGGAGAAGCTTTTTACGCCGGAGTTTGCGGTGGAGAAGATGGTGGGGGTTGCGGGGAGTGTTGGGTTACAGGGACGGGGGAGGTGTTGGGACTGGATGCTGGAGGAGGTCTTGCCGTGAGTAGGGGATGTACGAGGTCACTGTATTTGTAAAAATACCGGTTCGAACTGTATATATCCTTAGAGGCATTAATAAAGTCTCCAGAAGAGACTGATCACTCAGATTAACAGTTGAACAGGGGCTCTTTGGATAGGTAGGCAGGTAAGTAGTGACTAGTACGAGTAAGTGGTTGTTGTTTATGATATAGGTACAGTAAGTACCTCGGACGAGAATTCGTCAGGGGAAGCAGGGGCGGGGGAAAAGGGACCCCGGGAAAAGTGGTGCGTGCGCGGTGAATGCGGTGAATGCGGGGACTCCACATCCGAGGCAGCGGAGCGGCTTGCATCGGCCTTGTATCAGGACAGGACAGGACAGGACCTCAACCTTCACTTCAAAAAACATCGTGGAACATTTCTAATATTTCAACATGAAGTCAGACACACCAGTTTAATGAAAATGAAGACATCTCTGCCTCGCCTGGTGCGGAACCACCGACCCACCCCATTCCTCCAAACCCTCCCTCACCCACCAAGATGGTCCTCCTCCCTCTCCCAACGGCCAGGAGCAGCAGGGTCGGTACCTTATTCTCTCCTCCCATCCCCTCCCATCCACTCTTCAGAAATATTCATACTAACAATCATCTCATCTACAGCGTAACCTTCCCCGGCGCCGTAAACAGCAAGTTCACATCCGCCCTAACCTTCGAACACCCCTCCACCTACCCCGCCATCCCCACCTACCGCTGCACCTCTCCCGACGGCCACCTAATCGACGACACCGTCGCCCCCTGCGCAGACGCCCTCGCGCTCGCCATGTACGAGAACATGATCTCGGTCTCTATCATGGACCTGATCATGTTCGACGCGCAGCGGCAAGGGCGCCTGAGTTTCTACATGACGTCTCAGGGCGAGGAAGGCACGTGTGTCGGCTCCGCGAGCGCGCTGGAGAAAGATGATGTGGTATTTTCGCAGTACAGGGAAGCTGGGGTGTTTGTGCAGAGGGGGTATCAGTTGGGGGATTTCATGGCGCAGCTTTTTGCGAATAGGAGGGATGGGGGGAAGGGGAGGAATATGCCGGTGCATTATGGGAGTAAGGAACTTAATATCGTAAGTCTTTTTACTGCTTTTTCTTCTTCTTCTTCTTCTTCTTCTCCGTGCTTGAATTATACCTTATAATGCTATAACTGTTACTTATTTCAAGGGGTACTGTACTATAGCATACCATCTCCTCACCCCTAGCAACACAAATCCCCCAAGCAGCCGGCGCAGCCTACGCGCTTAAAATGCAGCGTCTGCAAAACCCAGACCTGCCCCCAAGAGTAGTAGCCTGCTATTTTGGCGAAGGCGCCGCCAGCGAGGGTGATTTCCACGCCGCGCTCAACATAGCCGCCACGCGCTCCTGTCCCGTCATCTTCATATGCCGCAACAACGGCTACGCCATCTCCACGCCCACACTCGAACAATACCGCGGCGATGGAATCGCCAGCCGCGGAACTGGCTACGGTATCGATACCATCCGCGTAGATGGGAACGACATTTTCGCCGTGCGAGAGGCGACGCTGAAGGCGAGAGCGCTGGCTCTCAAAGACGGGGGAAGACCCGTGCTCATAGAAGCCATGTCGTACCGTATCTCGCACCACAGCACCAGCGACGACTCGTTCGCGTACCGTGCGCGCGTGGAGGTCGAAGATTGGAAGAGAAGGGATAACCCCATCACGCGGCTGCACAAGTATTTAGAGAACAAGGGCCTGTGGGATGATGAGCGGGAAGCGGAGGCTAGGACGCGCATACGGAAGGATGTGCTGAAGGCGTTTGGGGACGCGGAGAAGGAGTTGAAACCTCCGCTGCGCACGATGTTCGAGGATGTGTATGAGGAGATGACGCCGGAGATTAGGGCGCAGATGGGGGAGTTGAGAGAGGTTTTGGACACTTATCCGGATGAGTATGATGTGGGGGAGTTTGAGGGAGGGAAAGATAGTTTGGAGAAATAAAGTAGATGAGATTAAGTATAAAACACATTTAAACGGTTTGGCTTTTCATCTGACTTACTACATGATGATACAGTATGCTTTCAAGCAGCTATCCCGAAAACAGTTCAAGAAAGGACGGACCTGGCAATGCACATGGTATACCGTGATATCAAGCGAGTTGAGCACATATGCAACATCCGAAATCTAACACCTAAAGCTTTCCCAATTATACATCCAACAGGCTCTCAAACCTCTCTATATACTGCATGAAAATCCGCCATCCATCTATCTATAGATACACCAGCTCCCGAGAATAGCCAAAAGCTGATCCAGAACTCCGCGTATATACCACGTGCCATATGAACATAGCTCATGTCTCATCATATAAACAGCCAGCCAAGAATGCGCCCGCCCACGCATACCATATCAACAACCAAAAACGCCACATATGCACAGTCCAGTCCACCCAGTCATATCCCACATCTCATTTCATCACCTTCCCTTCACCACACCCGCAATATACAGATTCCCACTCGCAACCTCAACCTTCCACCCCTCCCTCATCAACATCTTCCCCACCGCCGGCCCCAACCGACTCTTGCCCCCCTGACTATGATGTCCGACGCCCGTCCACGATCCTATACTGTCCCCCCTTGCCCCCCTCATGCCACCACGCCGTGACCCTCTCCCGACTAATGCGCACCGCGTCCTTAACGCTCACACCATGCAGATCCAAATACCCGTTCCTGCTCTGGCTCGCGACTAGTGCATCCGCCGCATCGCTCTCGGCCGATTGAACGAGCGCGTGGTAGGAGCGGCCTTCTTGCGAGTAGTAGGCTGCTGCGCCGCCCATGAGGTGGTCGGACTTGCCTTTGCGGTAGTACGTGGAGGCCTGGCTGAAAGCTGCGTTGCGGGCGCTGGTGTAGGTGCTTGTGATTGTGTTTGCGGAGATGGGGTCGAGGTCCAGGGCGGGGTTGAACTTGGGTTTGGGAGAGAAGGGAGGGCTGCGGTCGGGATTGAGGTTGAGTGGTGCGTGGCGGAGTTCGATTTGGATTGGGGTTTGGGAGCCGTGAGGTCGAGATGAGAGGGCTTTTGCCAAGTCGCGCGCGTTTGCGATCGAGGGATGCGTGAGCTGGACTAGGGCCTCTAGATCAGGAGTTTGGATTGATGGGAAGCCTTCGCGGAGTTCGGAGGCATTGATTTGGATCATGGGATCGTCGTCTTCCATGTTCAAGTCTTTATGAGCCTCGATGAGAGCAACAAGTGTAGCCTGGACTGATCCTCCGCTCTTATGATACATCGAGCTGACTTGTTGAATCGGCATCCCTGTCCTAGTGGCGATGAAATCGACTTCATGTCTCCCAGTCTCCCACTTGCTTTGTACGGGTAAGTCCGGAACCTGGGTATTGGCATCATCTTCTGTCATTCGCCCCTTTCTTTTCTTGTTTCTTGCCTTGTTCTTGCGCGGCCGTGATGGAATATCGCTCTCGGAGAAGGCATCGATTCCCTTGTGACGAAGTCCGTGATGCTCGAGGAAGGATTCATTCATGAGTTCATCGATAGCCAAGCTGGCGTTTCCCTTGTATTTCTTCAAAGTCCACTTGACATCGAATGGCTTCAAGGTAGGGAAAATACCCATGAGAGCTGTTTTCTTTGCTTCTTCATTCAGGTCGTCCAGCTGACTTGTATATGAAGTGTCTGTCGATTCATCTGTTGAAGTAGATGCGCCATTGGGGGTGAATTCTAAGCCTTCAAGGTCCAAAGAGGACATCTCATGACCCAGAGAAGTGTCGTCCGTCTGGCTCGTCCATCCTGGGGCACTTTGTCCGCTCCCACTCTGGCTCTCGTTTTCTCCCGCTTCCCCCAATCCGCCGCTCAAAATTTGAGGTCCACTGGCAGCACTGGCATCAAATCCGCTCGCTTCGTCATCTGGGACAGTAGCCTTGACAATCTCCAATATCTCTTTTGCTGTATTTAGTTGATCCACATCACGTAGGTCAAAGTCGGAAAGGATGGCCAGTACTGTGGAAGAATCAATGGTTTTGGAATATTCCTCCTAAGAAAATTTGTCAGCCAAGTATTGCGAAAATTGTGTTGCGCCAGAGTGAACATAATACCAATAATTGAGTCGCGAGCCCCTCCACGTCGGACATTTCCTGAGGGACTCTCCTGCCAGCGCGGACACGAGAAACAATTGTTCAAAATGGTTCAGCTTAGTGGTACAGTATTCTCTAGGATACGGTGCATTGCTGTGAGGGGATTATTTACAGATGGTGAAATCATGGTGTTGTGGAGTTGTGGAGGTGGAGGTGGAGGTGGACATGTCTTACAAACTTGGATGACGGTGGAAAGATGTTAATCGTGAGATGTAGTCACTCTTATCGGGAAGCTAAACCTATCTCGGTTGGACAACACTAGGACATCAGACAGACTATCAAAACTGAAAGAAGACCACCAATTTATAACAGTCAAAAAGACTAAGGCAATATATCACACACTGCCATTCATCTATCTAATGAAGTGTGCAAAAGCTAATCGCATTCCCTTATCATGATCCATTGATGCGCCAAACGACCTTCCATGCAATTTGACTAACCATCCATTCCAAATCAGGTGGAAAAAGAAACATGGTGGAGAAAGCTCGTGAATACATAAGTTATGAGGGGACGCAATACGGGTGATTTCTGTGAAGTAAATGCCTGAGATCGAATTCCTATTCGATTCTTCGCGCTAAACTCATCGACCTTTCAAGTAACGTGCCTATGACAAATGGAATGCGCCCTGTCCTTCCTTGATCGCAATATTCATACGACGCCGCATAACGTCCAGATCAGTGTAGTCGGGCAATTTAAGATAATTGACACAAGTCATAACGCTGGGGAGATAGTCGTCAGATGCGTAAGGAGGTTCACTTGGCTTACAAACCACCGTGAACATGGGGGTAAGAGACTTGAAACCTAGAAAAAGATCAGCATGAGGCAGATACTCAGTTGGTAAGGTGACGTACCGCCAATAGGAAGTTTAGGACTACCAGTAGTGAACTGGAGGAAGTCTCGTCGTTCTGGGAGTGTGAGTTCGCTCATAGTCTGAAGCAGATTCTTCACACTCTTGCTGTCCATATTGAAACCATGGTCGGCCTTGATCGAGTCCATGAGGGCTACAAAATCGTTAGCAATAGTGACATTTATGGAAGGAGAAAACATACTTTCAAGTGACCAATCTTCCTCGATTCTACCGAATAGCATGACCAGCTCATCCGGAGTGAAGGCACTGAGGGCGGAGAATGGGAATACCTGGGTGAAACCAGTTCTGAATGCATCAACTTGTCTTTGAACACCCGTCCCAAGGGTCATATCAATGACCTGTTCAAGGTAACGCTCGACATTGTCAATGGTAACCGAGATGGTAGATCCATTTGGCAGCAATTCAATGGTAGAATAACCTGGGAGAGTGAAGTCAAGACCAAGATCATCAATGCGAACGCCGTCAATAGAGAGTTCTTCTGCCGCCGCGACTTTTTGTGCAGGTGCGAGGTTGGGATTTTCATCAATAGCCTTCTTTCCAACGGCAAACTTTTTGATCAATTTCAAAGATTTTGCTAATTGGGCATCAACTGTCTTGACGGCTCCCAAAGATGGTGTGACTGGGTTGGATTCGTCTCCAATACGAAAGAAAGTGGGGTTGAACGAGACATCGATAATTCGAGAATCGATCATCGATCTAGCAACGAACTTTCCAAGCATCTTAAAGAGGTGGAGCGTTCGCTTGCCATTCTCACTTGTTGATTGATCCTTACTCATAGGGGCAGGGAACAGACCACGAGCACCGAATGCATACTCGTCAGCCTCGTTAGCATCTGTTTCACGCCAGAGGTGGAGCTTCTTCTTGGAGAACTCCTTCGATACAGTGGAATAAAACTCTAGAGTTGGACCAAGACCAGTTCCGACTTCTTCGAAGTATTCGACCTCCAAGATACTTTGCGACGCACCGTAAAGTTCCATAACCTTTAATGCAGACTCGAGAATCTTCGAACGAGAGATTCGTACCTTTTGGCGCTGCAATCGACCTAGAAAGGGGCGTTCATCACGATGGCGGTCTCTCCGGGACTCATCGGCAGATTGAGCATTCTGCCATCTGGTCATCGATCGCGCATAGCCAAAAGAAGTAGACTGCAGAAACAGGTGTCGGGTTTCGAAGGGGAAAAGGAATGGATATAGCCGAGCTAAATCCTCACTCCAAGTGGGAAGGCAGGCGCTCGCAACGATGAGAGGCTCCTCAAGCTGTCTGTTGAGTTTGGCTGTGAGCTTTGTATTTACAAATTGCGAGAGTGGTTCAGCGTTGAGCCTCAAAGTGTCCTTGTTCTCGGCTAACACATCATCTAGATTTGCATTCAACGCGTGCAAGATGTTCAACAGTCGAAGGATAGACGATGTTGCAGGATGCTTGTCCAGTGACGCAGGAATTCCAGAAGAAGTTGTTTCCGTGCTAACTTCCGATGCCTGACTGAGAGAGGTTGGTTCTGGTGGGGGTGGCCCTGGAACACGCTGAAATCCTATCTCATGTGTTGCGGACCAGACGCCTCGGTTTGTATGCTCATCAACTGACGGGTTGTGAACAGCTCGGTAAATGGTCATATCATTGGAAATCGGCTTGCCGTTGATGCTAAACTCGATGTGCCAGTCCTGTGGTACAGCCTGGATCGCAGCTGCATAGGACATTGGTCGGGAAGCGCTGGGTGTTGACATAGCTGCTTGAGCTGCAGCAAGTTGCAAGGCTGAGCTGCGGGAGCTGGCTGCAGATACCTGTGAAGGAGTAGCAACCTGAGTACCATCGTCCTTTCGAGCAGTGACTTTGCCACCAGCAGCGACTTCGAGGTTGACTGCAGTTGGGTCTGGGGCTGCACCCTCCTCCATATCCTCATCTAAGTCTCCAACAATGGCATCCAAAGCTGCACTAGCTTCCATATCCTCGTCATCAGTAAGTTGTCTCTCGTCGGCACATTCCAGTGCACTCGCCAAAGCATCTTCTTCTGCAGCTGGAGGTGCAGCTGGGGGCTCGGTCTGTGCTTGCTGTCGTCTACTAGACCGACGAGTGGACTTTTCTTGGGTTGTGTTAGAGGCTGACTGGCTTTCAGAAGCAGGTGTTGCAGCAGGAGCTGTCTTGGATTTCGCTTTTCGAGAACTCCGAGAGGTAGAAGGAGTTGGGGCAGATGGGGTTGCTGCATGGGCAGAAGTCAATCCACGGGCAGCCATACGTGCTTGGACATCAGGAACACCGGAGTATGGATTTGGAATGTTGCCGGCAGCTGCTAATGCAGCCAAAGCACCTGAAAGGCCTTCTCTCCTAGTGCCTCGAGGCCCTCGTTCCGACAAGCTGATTCTTGGACGTAGGTAATCGTCGAGTGCTTTAAAGGTAGCAATTGCATGAATCGAGACCATGATATTGCGATAATGTCGTGGTATCTCTGAGCTTTCAGGCGCAACTAGCTTGAGACGAATTTGCTTCGCAAGCATGGAAGCCGCACTGCTTCTATTACCATCAAAAGTGTTGGAGTGAACTGTTACAACCTCAAAATGCTCGGAACGACTCAGGAGATCTTGTAATTTGTGGATTAGAATACTGAAAGGTGTAGCAGAGGACTCTGCAGTTGAAGTGTTAGGCTTCTTTTTCACAGTTCGTCCCATAAATACCTCGAGGAATGCTGATCTAGCGTCGTTGCTCAAGCGCTCGTCGGGGTGATTGAACACATCCAGCAAGACTCTCACAACTTCGGAGTTAAGCAACTCGGCACTGGTGACGCTTTCCAGAACATCACCATCAAAGTAAGAGGCGAGTGTTGTGAAAAGTTCCACGCCATTGCCTGGTCCCTGATGAAGATAGTGAGATTCGATGTTGGAAGCCAATCCTTGCAGACTGCTAAGAATCTTCACGGCCTTTTTCTTCATGTTTTGGCTATTCTTCTCCGTCTCATGAACCTCCAAAAATTTCTTTGCTCGCTGTGCAATGATTTGTTGCATAGTCGTGACATCTGAGGTAATGTGGCGTGGCGGGCCATCCAATGACATTGTAGACCCTCGTGAGCTTGTTGGAGATCGACTGATATCATCAGGAATATCATCGTTCTCATTTTCATCGTCGTTATCATCGTCCGATGAATCATCATCATCGTCATCATTGGCATCGTCAACCGGTTCAGACTTCTCGGATACTTTCTGAGCACCGTCTGGTTCAGTTACATTAACGGCTTCGATCGCTGGCGAGTCTCCGTTGGCAGACTTGGTAGACTTCTCAACCAAATCTGCATTGGCAAGCTTTGCGATTTCTGCAATGACTCCTTCCCGATAGAACTGGTAGCGATAGACCTCATCCAAGCGAGTGAGGAGAAGCTCAGCAGCTTGAAGTGCATAGTTCACAAGACTGGGGTGGTCTTGTTGTGACAGGATTGCGGCAAGGAAAGAAGCATATGGCACAGATCTTAGTGCTTCCATCAAGATATCTTTATCGAGATTGGATAGCATCTTCAGTTGGGCAGTCAAGACCTTCTGGCGAACACTCAAATTGACGGTGCTTGAAAATGCATCTGTCAAAGTAGGGAACAGGATAATGGCAAATCGCTTGACTTCGTCTTTACTTCCCTCTAGGAGCTCAATTCGCTTCTCGTTTGCAGACTTCTTCCGGGAACTTGACGACCCCGTCGGTGGTGCTGACGCTGCGTCAATATCAAAAATCGCATCGAATGAGTCGGATTCTCTCGGAAGGCCGGGAAGAAGTTCACAGATGACGTTCAAGGTTTCAATGACTTGTTCTCGGGGTCTGTGGATTAAAGCCTGCATGATAACAACACTGTCCAACTTCGAGGCTACATCTTCTGTGGCGCCAGGGGGCGAAACACCCGTCAAGATTTGGTACAAAGTCTCGACAACATTCATTTTGAACAGTTCAGCGGATAAGCTGGCGCTAGCCTTAGCAGTAAAAGCCAAGACTCGCAAGAATTGGGTGTGGATATTCGGGCCGATAAGGTTGGTGGTACCTGGGAGTAAGAGACGGAGGATAGCTCGGAGCAAGTCAGTACTGACGAGCTCTTCAAGCTTGCTAGGGTGATATCTAAAGCTCTCTACGACTCTAGACACACAAAGTGATCCCTGCTCGACAACTTTCTGATCATTGGAGCCCAAGACGTTCAAGAGAATTGGCATTACATCTCGAATGACGGGAAATGAGTCCTCTGGGATATTTCTACAGCAGTTGGCCGCAGTGGTGACAGCAGTCCGCTGAGTACTGGTTGCGAAAAAGTCAAGGTATGTCAGACAAGCTGTCAAGCCTCCTTCGCGCACAATAGATGCAGGATATTCGACCGAGATCTTCTCCAATGTCTAGAAGTTTCAAGTTAGCAAGAATGATTGAAGGGTTGAGGCCACTTACGCTGAGAGCTTGCTCTGCCAAATCAATGAAGTGTATCTCCAGAAGCTTTTGGCAGAGAATTGGCACGGCCCCTCCATAAACCACATTCGCCGTGCTTGCGGGCAATGCTTCCATCAAATTCGCAAGACACCGGCATGCAAGAAGCATCATTTCAGGATTTTCTTCTCCAAAATCGGAGGGTTGCATCAGGAGTACAAGCTCCTTAACAAATGCATCTGGGGAGAAGTGTCCTGACAAATTATCCTCGGTCGATACCAGCAGAATTTCGGACAATTCCTGCAGGGCAATCAACTGTACCGAAGGATCATCTTTTTGCTTCAAGTTGTTCAAGATATCCCGTAGTCTCGTAGAAACGCCCGACATCATGCCAGTCAATGCCCTTAATGTGCTCGAGAGGCCGTGTGGAGGTCCTCCAGGTCCACCAAAATTTCCAAATGGATCGTCGTCATCGTCCTCCCGGCCAGCATAATTGCGAGCCATCTCTTCATCCTCATTGTCGTCACTAGCATCGTCATCGTCAGGTGGGGGTTTATTCTCCGAAGGGTTATTTAGCGAGGAGTCGCCATCTTTATTGTTGCTGGCCGTCTTCTTTGGTCTACGGCTAGACGCTGGGGTGCTTGTAGGATTAACTGCTTTACGGGCGTTAGCAATGCAATATGATGCTTGATTAGGAAAAAAGCGACACACCTTGACCACCCTTCTTATTCCTAGATGACTTCCGCTTTGAGGAACTGGTAGATGTGTTCGGTGGTTCACTAGAAGGACCCGCAGAATCACTGAGATGTGTATTAGTTTAGCAGGACAGACGGGGATAGATTGGATACATACCCAGGACTCGACATAACCGCAGGAGTTTTGCCCTTCGAAGCTCTCTTGCGAGCGGAAGCTGGGGCAGTCAGGGGCGGCTCAGGCTCAGTTACTTTTTGTCGCTTTGTACGTCTGGGTTGTGGTTTCGCAGGTTCTGGTTCAGGTATTGGGCTTGGCTCTCGAGCTTGTGCTTTGCGTTTTCGAGATGCAGGCGGAGGCCGAGGGGACGAGGCAGCGGCGGTGGCGGGGACTCCTGCGGAGGCGCCAGCTGACTCTGAAGAGCTGGCTGCTTGTCTAGCGGACGCACGAGTAATTCTGGAAGACATGAGTATTTGGTTTCTGATGGAAGGCCTTCAGCACACTCCGTCGCCTCTATGCAACAAGGTGGATGATTGCAAGAGGTTGCGGCAGGTCGAAGTTGCAAATGTAGATGTAAATGGATATTGACTTGCAGGTGGAGACGAAGAGGGAAGAGGGAAGGGGTCAAGTAGAAACAAGGGCAGGTGAATGGGGGGAAGGGTACCGAGAAGCAGAAGTCGCTGTCGACTGGTTTCTTGCAGTTGCTGTTGCCGTTCCGGGGTCGTTATCGAAAAGTGACTCCGATTTACGCTGCGAAGATGCCATCGGTCACGCCATTAGCGGCTGTTTGTATATTCTCTTGGTCTGAGTAAATATCGAATTGTCGAAGATCGCGAGGGGGAGGAGAAAGTAGAGAATATCACGGGCGGTGGAGGTGTTTGATGGGATAGGATGGTATGGTAGGGCAAATGTTAATGAACGATTACATCGACTCTACCTACGTACGCTGAGTTGGCGCGGAGCGCTGTTTTTAATCCTGGTCGCCCAGCACCACCACCGCGCTTAAATACAAAAGTCGATCTAGACGAATTCTAAAAGTGACGACGTTGACACCAAAAACACGCTCTTCGTTGTGTAGCAGACAAAGTGCAAAGGTCAAGTGCCTTTGGGTATGTATTTCAACACTCATGCCTCAAAATGATTCCCACCCACGTGAAAAACGCAACCACCATCTTCCTTCCACCTTGTGGGACGATTACCTATCAGACTAAGGTTACTATTATATTTGACTACTTAGCAACGTGGCAGATTTTGTTTTCAGAAGTCTATACTCATATTAAGAATTCTTGAGGAAAGCTTCTGTCTGCTGCATCAATTCATCTGTTAGCTATGTCTATTTCGTCTTCCTCCACTTCTTTACAGATATACCGATCATTCAACGTCTTTCACATACTCATAAAATACCAAATTGTTCAATAATAAGTTATCGCAAAAAGACTGACTTCTATTTCCCAATATCTATATATAATATATCTTCATCTCATGTAGCTCAGGTATTGCTTGTTCTATAAAATTTCGCTTGAGATGTTTTAGTAGGATCAAGCAAATACACTACCCGTCCCGTCTCATCCACACTTGAATGCCATAAGCAAGACTTGTCAAAACCTTTTGATTCTTATAATTTTTGGATATCACTCAGTCAAGATGTCATATAACTCGTTTGTGGATGGGTCATCTTCAAATACGTAGTCAAAGGGGGCTAACTCTATGCTTGGTCACGTTGGACCCAGGATTGGACTGAAGCGAATGAGGTTTCTGATACTTCAAGGTACAAGACATGGGAGACTTTGCTGAGACATTGCTAGGTCAAAGGAGATGATATCCGTGTACCTTCGGCGGTAGGTAAGCTGATGGTATTGTTGCTTATGGACGGGAGATGTGCGGCAAGGTTGGCTCAGGCCAGTAAGTGGAAATTATGGAGGAGAAAACAAAAGGATTAAAAACAAAATGTTTGATATAAATCGAACGGGCTCTGTAACTTGAGCTGCTAGCCTTCTTCGGTGAGTTAGCCCATATTTACATTTTCGGCTTGAAAGGTTGCCGTTTACCTATAGGAAGTTTTCATCTGATAAACGACTTTTGTCACATTGTATACTCCGTACTAACGTTTCCGCTCACCCTAATAGGTGACGGAGATGACAACAGAGGAGCAAGCCTCAATCCCCAGCATTACCGTACTGGTGATACATATGCATGCCATCTATTGGCTGCTGAAAATGTGGGTTTAGGCACGGTACTGTACGGATCTGTAATCAATCCCAGGCGCCCGGAACCTGTCAACCTACCTGCTTGTTCCGCAAGCAACGTGACTTAAAAGCGACGGAACTCGCGGCCTTTTGACTAGCTTACCTTAACCTTTAGGCAGGTGGTCAGCGTACCTTGATTCTGATTTGATAGTTGCTTTCTCTGTTGGAGTTTCTGTTAAGGCCTTCTTCAAACTATTTTCGGGGACTTGTCCATGGTTGAAAGCACTAATTCCCTTACAGTCTAGAATCCTCCCGCCCGGTGAGATAGTGTAAGCGGGCTCGCGGGGTGAATCGCAATCGCATCATCTCCGTAACAAAAGCCACAACCATCCCCCCTCCCCACCCCATAAGATCCAACAGCATCTTAAATCCAACATTCCCATCCATACCCCCCCCGAATACACGAAGGATTCACTCCTGTCGGCTTCAAGGTGTCTTGGCCGATTCCCAGACGCTCTTCCTCAGGGCGGCTAGTCGTGCGCAGCCTCGACCCCCGTATTTCCTATCGTCTCCGTGTTCCGACCTTGGGACATAACAGTTCATCATTGAGATTTTACACACCTTCGAGCCCAAAATATCTGTCGCAGAGGCACGAATCGACAACCCCGAGTCAAAGTCATACGACTCTCAAAATGGCAATAGACACGCAGTCTGCTGTTTCGCAGCCGGTCCAGAGCAATTTCCCCCACCAACGCCTCACATTACACCAAAGCGATGCCTCGAGAACCCCACTCGTATTGATAGCATGTGGCTCCTTGTACGTCTTATTTCCATGCCAAAACCTACCTATTTCTTCAGATGCCAAGGAGGCTTGGACATCCATATGCTTCCACGCTCTTTGACTCACTCCAAACTACTGTGCTAATGTGCAGGCAGCTCCCCTATAACCTACCTACACTTGAGGATGTTCGAGATGGCGTCAGAGTAAGTCACCTATCTAGAAAATCAATATGTGTAAATTTGATCTGACATTTAGACACAGTTATGTGCGTACTCTTCTTCCTTTCTGCTGTTCTTCCGGATTCGAAGATAACCTTTCCGAGTTCACTCTTTACATTACATTAAGGCTAACATCCCACTCTAGTACAAATTCAACAACAAAAACTTCGAGATCATGGGGGGTTATCTCAGTCCAGTGAGTCTTATTTTCAAGCAGAAACGCTGTTTCCCCTCAATACGTTTCCGAGGTTGGACTTGTTTGGGGGCCCTTTGGCAGCAAGGAGCCTTGCCCGAAGCTCCCTCCTGAAACATTAAAGTTCAAGATGCTAACATGTTCACATAGGTCGGAGACGGCTATAAAAAGGTAATCGGCCCTTTTATTTATTTCTTCTGCTCTGTCTTGCTATGCTGAGATTCTTGAAGAGTTTTACATCGCCTCAATCCTTGACATCGACGTAAAACACAGTACTGATTTCTTAATAGGCAGGACTCGCACCAGCTGTCCACAGACTCCGGATGTGCGAGTTGGCTGTGGAAAGTGCTGGGTGGCTGATGGTTGATCCATGGGAGGCTACGAACCCAGAATACATTCCCACCGTAAGTCAAGTCATACATATTGAATACCAGCTTTTGGCATATTTCAGAAGCTTGGCTCTCTGCTGCCAAAAAATCAAACACAAGTCCAAACTAACTATATGGACAACAATAGGCCCAAGTCTTAGATCATTTTGAACACGAGATCAATGTGGTATTAGGAGGTATCGAGCGACCTGATGGGACCAGAGTACCTGCTAAGATTTGTCTCTTGGCGGGTGCAGATCGTGAGCATTTACCTCTCTCCTCGATTATAGACGGATCCAGTGGTAGCATGATGAATTCATACTGACTCCCCTGTTCTTCTGCAGTTGTCCAAACTATGTCCACACCAGGTAAGACATACACATCCGTCTTCCCTAGTCCATTACTAACTGACTCGCCAGGCGTCTGGAGTAGTGATGATTTGGATCATATTCTTGGAATGTATGGTGCTTGCATCATTGAACGAGAAGGAACCGACATCGATGATGCTCTCTCGAGTCTTCAAAATTACAAAGACAATATTCATGTGAGCATAGTCCTATAGCATTGCTTTTTTCGGATTTATCTTGTTGCATTTGGTATCCAAGAGCTTCTACTAAAATATTTCTATCATTCCTGTACCTTGAAATCACAACTCAGACTTTGCATGTCGACCTGTCAAGATAATATTGCTAATGCCTTAGTAGGTTGTCAAACAACTCATCCAGAACAACGTAAGCTCGACTAAGATTAGGCTCTTCTTACGAAAGGAGTTAAGCATCAGATATCTGATTCCATCGCCGGTTATCAATTATATCGAGGAACATAACCTGTATCAAGAGGACGGAATATCCTCGATGAAGGAAAAAGGAAATGCAGAAGCCACGCAAAATTCGGGCCGGACATCACCAGCAATCGGCAGTTCTGGATCTAGAAACCACATAGACAAGGCCTCGTGAAAGCTAGATGATGTACTCTTCGGACTTTACGCTGTATCATATGAAAATACTAGGGAGTACCAACCCCCGCCCGGAATCCGGCATTCGCCGGCCTTTACGGGGTACAAAATGTCTTTTCCTCATGGCCAAACGAATGTCATCTTACCTTTCATTGGGTATTGTCGCATCACAGTGGATGAGGGGGTTTTTATTTACACGGATTTCTTTTGCATTGGATAGGTGCTGGTTGCATACGGAGGATGATCACGGGACACTGCTTGGGAGGATTTTCTGTTCAACGTAGATGCGAGTGGCTCACGGCCTCGGGAAGACATAGGAGATATCCACCCCACCATTGCTTAGATTTTGGTGGAATAGCTCGAAAGAAAGTAGAGATGGATTTGCTCTACCTTCTGCACCATGACCCTTTAGCTTTTGCAAACACAATAATAACATAGGTAGGGACTTACAAATGGACTCTTGAGTGAGTAAAGACAAATTGTTCCACGGTAAAAGAAATAGTCGTGAATCCGCGATGAAACACTACTCCGTTAAACATCAGCGCCACAAGGTCTAGCTAAGGTACCTGACTGTAAGCGTCATCCGAGGCTGTGCACTCCAGAACAACAAGACCCCCGTCACCTGCCAACATCAAAGTGAGACCACCCCATCTGAGCAACCTCTCAATTGTAGAGGACTTATGCTCTCTCAACCACGTACAAACGTATTTTCGACCACACTTGCCCAATAAACACTACGAGGAATTTGCGGCGCTGGACGACGCTTCAAAGCAACAATGGGGCCCAGCCTCCTAGCAGTGGCAGGCCTCCTGACTGCAGCTTCAACCCTAGTATCCAGTGAAGCTTTCACGCCCATCCACGAAGCTGGGCGATGTGCGATCCGCGGGGACTGTGGCACTCTCTTTTCACGGCTGCCGTGCGTTGATAACGGGCTGGCAAAAGACCCAGAGGACGATGTGCGGGAGAAGCTTATGGGAATCTGTGGGCCAAAATGGAAGACAGGGCCTCTGTGTTGTGAAGAGAAACAGGTATGGCATATTGCTAAGCAAGAGAGTCGATATTGATGTATGATGTAGCTCGACACTCTCTCGGATAACCTGAAAAAAGCGAACGCCTTCATATCATCCTGCCCGGCTTGCAAGGAGAACTTCTATAACGTCTTCTGCACGTTCACCTGCTCTCCCGATCAATCGCTCTTCATAAATGTCACACAGGCCGAAGCGAGCGGTGATAAAAAGAGGGTTACAGAGTTGGATCATCTTGTTTCCAACTCTTATGGATCCGGGTTCTACGATAGCTGTAAGGATGTGAAGTATGGGCCTACAAATGGCAATGCTATGTCCCTCATTGGTGGCGGCGCGAAGAATTATACGGACTTCTTGAAGTTTTTGGGAAAGAAGGATCCTTTCTTTGGCTCGCCTTTCCAAATCAACTTTCCAAGACCCGAGGAATATCCCGAACCTGGTTCTGGAGCGCTGGACATGACCCCAAAGAAATGTAACGACGAAGACAAGAATTTCAGGTGTGCTTGTGTAGACTGCCCTGATGTTTGCCCCGAACTTCCAAAAGTCAAGGAATCTGGTACATGCCACGTCGGAGTGCTACCATGTCTCTCCTTTGGAGCTATACTGGTCTATGGAGTTATCATGGCATTGCTTGCTACAGCAATATTTGGACATATTGCCTGGGCTAAGCATAAGCGGCGCACCAGCGAGCGACTTCGTTTACTACAAGACGTTGCACCAAGCGATGATGAGGACGAAGGTGATATAATCCACAATAATGCTATGTATGATCGCCCTCAGAGACATTACTGGATCAACACCGTCTGTGACAGTGCATTCAGTCGGCTGGGATACACTGCCGCAAAATTTCCAGCGATTACTATTGCTGTCAGTGTCGCCCTGGTGGCAATTTTGAGCATCGGATGGGTCCGATTTGAAGTAGAGACAAATCCAGCCCGACTATGGGTCAGCCCAACTTCGGCTGCTGCTGAGGAGAAGGCTTTTTTTGATAAGAACTTTGGACCTTTTTACCGTGCTGAACAGGTTTTCTTAGTGAACGATACACAACCAGAAGGGCCAGGCCCAGTCCTCAGCTACGAAACTCTCACGTGGTGGATCGATGTTGAAGATCGCATTAGCAAGCTCAAAGGAAAGAAAACCAATGCCACGCTTGAAAATGTATGCTTCAAACCTACAGGAGATGCTTGCGTGGTGCAGTCCGTGGCAGCCTGGTTCAAGAACGATGCGAAGCAGGTTAATGCCAAAACGTGGAAGGATGAGCTTCGAAAATGCGAATCTTCACCTGTCAAGTGCCTACCCAAGTTTAGCCAACCTCTCGATCCAAAATTGATCCTTGGTGGGAGACATGGGTCAGATGATCCTGCAAATTCGTCTGCAATCGTTGTCACCTGGGTTGTCAAAAATGGCGATGAAGATTCAACTGTTGTAAAAAAGGCCATGGATTGGGAAGCATCTCTGAAAGACTTCCTCCTTGAATTACAAGGCAATGCAACTGCTCGTGGTCTCAGACTGTCGTTCAACACAGAAATCAGCTTGGAAGAGGAGCTCAACAAATCTACAAACACCGATGCCAAAATCATTATCATAAGTTATATTATCATGTTCATCTATGCATCTCTAGCTCTTGGATCGACTGCATTATCTGTACGGGGAATTTTGCGGAACCCAGCAACTTTCCTTGTGGAATCAAAGTTCTCTTTGGGAGTGGTGGGCATTCTAATCGTACTGATGTCCATCTCGGCATCTGTTGGGCTCTTCTCATATGCCGGTATCAAAGTCACTCTTATTATCGCAGAGGTCATCCCTTTCATTGTTCTTGCGGTGGGTGTCGACAACATCTTCCTCATCGTGCATGAATTTGAGAGAGTCAACATTAGCCACCCTGATGAGATGGTGGAATACAGGATCTCAAAAGCCTTGGGTAGAATGGGCCCTTCGATTCTCCTATCAGCTAGTACGGAGACCATTGCTTTCGCCCTTGGAGCTGTCGTAGGAATGCCGGCTGTTCGGAATTTTGCTGTTTACGCTGCTGGTGCCGTGTTCATCAACGCTTTGCTGCAGGTCACAATGTTCATCTCCGTGCTGAGTCTCAATCAGCGACGAGCCGAGGATCATCGAGCCGACTGTTTCCCTTGCATTCAAATCAAGAGTGCCAGTGTGCAATTGGGACACTCGAATGGTAATGGCTACGCCAGATCTTACGAGGGTCAAGATGAAAGCAGCCTTCAACAATTCATTCGCAAGAGTTATGCTCCCACGATCCTTGGAAGGAAAATGAAAGCTGTGATAGTGGTCATATTTTTAGGCATATTCACAGCTGGGGTCGCATTGATTCCCGAAGTCTCCTTGGGACTAGAACAGACAGACGCGATTCCAGATGGCTCCTACTTGATCCCTTACTTTAATGATCTCTACGATTATTTCGATTCCGGCCCTCCGGTTTACTTTGTCTCTCGCGAGCTAAATGTCACCGAGAGGAAGCACCAACAACAGCTCTGTTCTCGTTTCACGACGTGTAAACAAGAGTCCCTGACAAATATTCTCGAGGGAGAGCGAAAGAGGCCAAACGTCTCGTACATTGCCTCGAATGCTGCAAGTTGGATCGATGACTTTTTCGTTTGGCTTGATCCCACCAACGAGGAATGTTGCCTTGAAAAAGGCGACACATGCTTTGCCCATCGCGATCCAGCATGGAACATTACCCTCTACGGAATGCCCGAGGGTGATGAGTTCATTAATTACTTGGAGAAATGGGTCAACTCACCCACAGATCAGAGTTGCCCTCTTGGTGGAAAAGCATCATACGCCAACGCTCTAGTTATCGACACAGAGCGAGAAACCATCCCAGCAAGCCATTTCCGTTCCTCTCACACTCCCCTCCGCAGCCAGAAGGATTTCATCTCAGCCTACGCCTCCGCACGCCGTATCTCAGACGGCCTCAAAAAATCCACTGGCCTCGACGTCTTCCCTTACAGCGTCTTCTACATCTTCTTCGATCAATACTCCACCATCGTCCGCCTAACCGCCACGCTCCTCGGCTCAGCCCTAGCCATGATCCTCGTCATCTCCTCCTTGCTCCTCGGATCCGTCAAGACCGGAGCAGTAGTAACAGCCACCGTCATAATGATAGTAGTAGACATCATCGGCACCATGGCACTCTTCCACGTCTCCTTGAACGCAGTCTCGCTTGTCAACCTCGTCATCTGCGTAGGCATCGGCGTCGAGTTTTGCGCTCACATCGCGCGCGCTTTCATGTTTCCGTCCCGCGCTGTCATGGAGCGCGTGAAGAATAAGTTCCGTGGCCGTGATGCACGAGCTTGGACTGCGTTGGTTAATGTGGGCGGGAGTGTTTTCTCCGGTATCACTATTACTAAATTGCTCGGTGTGTTCGTGCTAGCGTTTACGAGGAGTAAGATTTTCGAAATTTATTATTTTAGAATCTGGCTAGCGCTTGTGGTATTCGCTGCATTGCATGCGCTGGTTTTCTTACCTGTTGCGTTGAGTTTAGTTGGGGGGCGAGGGGTATATTGATCCTGAGAGTGAGGGGGGATTGCAGGAGGATCTAGCGAGTAGACGGTATAGGGCTTTACTGCCAGATGAGGATGATGATTCGGATGAAGAGTATTAGTTTGGGCACTTTTGGTGGGAGAAGGTGTGTATATGTAGGAATTTGCATGGGTTTAGGTGTTTTCTCTGGGTTGGGTTGGGTTTAATTTATAGCGAGAACAATGTCACATGGCATGGTAATATATGATGGGTTGTTAATCTCTTGTATTGTGTTTGTGTTTGAGATTTTGATGAGGGACCAATGGCCTCGTTAAAACCTGCGTACAGGAAAGAGTGCCTTGGTTAATTTCCCTCTCAGTCTTTGCTTCCTTCCTTTCTCCCTTCTTTTCCCTCCTTTCTTTCGTACCCTTCTTATTCCCCTTTTCTTCGGATCGTGGCTTCCTAAGTTGATTCTCCTTGAGCACCGCTGTCGAGGTAGCGATTTTATTGTTTGTTGACGGCGACTTGACTGTTTGTTGTAGTTGGTGTTTTTGATTCCGCATGATGGAGCTTTGTAGCCTCTGTAATTTTGGCTGATCGTTGATGATGAGTGAGAGTTTGTTGTTGGTGGTGTACCTGATGCCAATTTGCTAAGGCACTTTAGCACCGTTGTGTTCGGGCAATGGAGTCCGATGTGGTGTTTTCTCTGTTGGATATCTAGGATGTAGTGATCCTGTTGTTGAATTTGAGTTGAAGTTGAAGTTGAAGTTGGAGTTGATGATGCTGATGATGCTGATGATGTTGACGATGTTGACGATGTTGACGTTGCTAGAGCAGGTGAGGAGCTCTGTCGTAATTACCTTGCATGTCTTTTCTTGCATGTCTTTTGGTGGTGAGTCGAGTGAGTTTGATGTGTTGGTGGTGTCCAGTGCAATGGGGTCCCGTGACGTTGAGTAGCTCTCCTTTTGAATAGCGCCCGTTTCCATTTTCGGCTCCATATCATTACATTGTTTGGATCCCAAATTAGCGTCCAATCTTCTAAATGACGCCCTCTGATCTGTCAAAATCCCCCTTTTTTTTTTTTTCTTTTTCTTTCAAGCCCTTTCTGTAAACTGGCAGTAGTGCTTCCTCAATGGCACATGAGTTTTCTGATAATATCCTTCAGACTGAATCTTCCATTAGCTTTTTCGAGTGCGTTTTCGTAGTCCACATAAGCTTGCAATTCGACCAATTCGTCGAATTCTGATGGGCTGTTGTCCTGTCGTAGATGGCGGATTTTTCTCTCTGCTTTTTTCATAAGCTTCTTTTGAACGTCGGTACTGAGTTCCGACGAGCTGCGGCTGGCGGTGGAAGGCATTTTGACTTTTTGTTAATCCTTTTGGCAGTTGTTGGAAGTGGCGATGATGTTGGACTTTGCCTTGGTGTTTGGTGTAAGTAGAACATGTAGTTGTAATGAGCTTGAGTGAAAATTGAAGTTGAAGTTGAATTGGTATTAGAAATAAAAGACTTTGTTCGATGAAGGGAAGAAAAGAAAGTGGAAATCCGCGAGGAAGGGTTCTTTTTATATCTGATCTGAGAATTCCTTTGGTACCTAATTATTAGCTTTCCGTTCAAATTTTATATATGACCGCATTGCCACTACTATACTGCATGGTTTTGCTGATTACCTGGCGCTTGTTATGTCTAAAGCCGAATTAGCGTTGACTCAAGGTTTTAGATCCCAGATTAATTGTATAATGGAGTGATAGTTATGGGAGTGCTAGGTGATTGATTGGTGAAAAGTTCCATTAGCAGGAGGACCATGATCAGGATAGGGATCTTGCAGAACAATTCTCTGGTATTAAATTGTTAGCCTAAAGACCGCTCGGTAAGTCTAACGTCCTAGTCCCAGAATCTTCAAGCTTCTGGTTGTTACAGAGCATTAACTAAGGCTTAGTGAGTGAACTACGATACTTCTGACATCAAAAACCTCAACAGTTCAGATCACGAAGAAAGGAAGTCAAGATTTTTAGCCTCCTAATTGCCAGTGGACTTATGACATAATAATGGTCGTAGGTAGCATCTTATACTTCATCGATTCAGTGTAGTCTCGCAAGAAAACTTCATGGTCATCAAGATAGACACTATTCTGAGCGAGTGAAAAGGGGGATAGTTTAGTTTCATAGTAGTTGAAATTAAAATCAATTGCACGACGGTGCTCTGCTAGCCTTCCCTGAACCGTTTCAAGGAGCTGTGACTGCATCATTGATATATTTGAGGCTCCCCTCGACCGGATCTGGTAATTGAAGATTTTGTTGCGTATCGCAGGAACGCCTCAACCAAGATGTGGCTTCTGCTCAGCCATAGCAGGAGCAGGAACTCCCTAAATACTACGAAGAGTAAGATACCGCAGAGGTGATCATGTGATTATTCGTCTTGTATGCACGATGACTATAGCCAAGCAACAGACAAGATGGATGTTATCTCTTTAAAGCACCCCGCTCCCGCTCTTGAAAAAGAGGAGACAGAGAAAGAAAATACTGGCAATTATCGCATTATTGTATATAAGAGCCCGTGCTTCCCGACTTTTATATTGCTTCGTCCTACTCTGTCTCGTCTGGACCTACGCCTACGCCCTACGCTACGCTACTCCTGTAACGCAGGCTATCGCATCTTATCATACAGTACTGTACAGTATCACCCCACCAGGTTCAACGTCAACCAACGTCATTGCCCTCAGATCCCGGCATCTCGGAACCGGATTCGAGCTACGGTACAGTACCCTATATATCGTATTCCCTTCCACGTAACCTCAGGATGGACGACTTCATTGAGCTTGGCATTGAAGGTATCGATAAAGTCGTCGATAAGCACTTTGACCGCGTCCCTGACAAGGCTCTCCACAAAAACACATACCACCCTCGCAATCTAAAAAATATACACCGAAGAAGAACCCGGGACTCTTCATCCTCATCCCACGAACAAGAGCAGCCTCCAAGTCCTCAACGGCAACGGCAACGGCAACGGCAACGGCAACGACCCCGTTCACAAGAAGATCCGGATCCCAATCTTGCGTACCAGGATCCATATATCGTGGACGAATACCCTGGGTTTATCAATATGCGCGATAACGAGTATCAGTACACTCCACCTCCGTATCCGCAAAACGGGTTCCAGGAACCATTGTATAGTCACGAGCCTCCGCGTCAAAGAGCACAGTATATTCCTGCACCACCCCCGGGTCGGGGACGAAGTGGCTATGAATCAGACGACGAATCCGATTCCGCCGACGAGAGGTATTACTCCGACACGCCCTCTCGTCAACGACGCCCGACGAATCGACGGCGCGGCTCCAGCTATCCCGGGTCCAGCTCCGGCGCAAATGGACAACTAGCCGTGGCGGGGAAGCGAGGCGGGACGACGGTTGAGCAGGTCAAGGATAAGGCGCATAGGTACGGATTAAAGGACGAGCTGAACGGCGTGTTTTCGAAATCGAAGGCCGGGCTTGCG